CAACACAGGGTACTACATTCCCTGGCTGCATTCCTTTCTGCCAAACATAGGGTACGACATTCCCTAGTAGCATCACAGAGTGCCAAGAGCCTCACCTTATTGCCAACACAGGGTACTACATCCCCTGGTTGTATTTCTTGTTGCAAACATAGGGTACGATATTCCCTAGTAGCACCCTAGAGTGCCAAGAGCCTCACCTTATTGCCAACATAGGGTACTACATCCCCTGGTTGTATTTCTTGTTGCAAACATAGGGTACGACATTCCCTAGTAGCATCCTAGAGTGCCAAGAGCCTCACCTTATTGCCAACATAGAGTACTGCATCCCCTGATTGCATTTCTTGTTGCAAACATAGGGTACGACATTCCCTAGTAGCACCCCAGTGTGCCAAGAGCCTCACCTTATTGCCAACATAGGGTACTACATCCCCTGGTTGTATTTCTTGTTGCAAACATAGGGTACGACATTCCCTAGTAGCATCCTACACTACCACGTGCCTCATCTTATTGTCAACACAGGGTACTACATTCCCTGGCTGCATTCCTTTCTGCCAAACGTAGGGTACGACATTCCCTAGTAGCATCCTACACTACCACGTGCCTCATCTTATTGTCAACACAGGGTACTACATTCCCTGGCTGCATTCCTTTCTGCCAAACGTAGGGTACGACATTCCCTAGTAGCATCCTACACTACCACGTGCCTCATCTTATTGTCAACACAGGGTACTACATTCCCTGGCTGCATTCCTTTCTGCCAAACGTAGGGTACGACATTCCCTAGTAGCACTCCAGAGTGCCAAGAGCCTCACCTTATTGCCAACATAGGGTACTACATCCCCTGGTTGCATTTCTTGTTGCAAACATAGGGTACAACATTCCCTAGTAGCACCCCATTGTGCCTCGAGCCTCATCTTATTGCCAACACAGAGTACTACATCCCCTGATTGCATTTCTTGTTGCAAACATAAGGTATGACATTCCCTAGTAGCATCCTACACTACCACGTGCCTCATCTTATTGTCAACACAGGGTACTATATCCCCTGGTTGCCTTCCTTCTTGTTAATATAGGGTACGACAATCCCTATTATAAAATATAAAATAAAATAAAATCTCATTTCTTTTTCAATTATTTATTTTGCAATAGAAAGATAGTTTATTTTATTTTCAATAACTCACAAAAATTTTCTAGTGCAAACTGGGGCAGAAAATTTTTGTTCGTTTTGTATGTTTCTGATGGCTTGTAGGTTTTTCTGCAAAGCACGGATCGGATATGCAAAAATAAGATTCCAACTCTTGCTAGATAAAGTGGAACGTTTGATCCCAATACCAGCCATGACCAGCTCTGACGTAATGCATGCGGATACATAAGGTTTCAAGATCCATCTTCTCATCATCTGATCAAGAATCAAGCCCGGGAGAATATTTCATAGTTTGTTACATCAAGAGCATCAAGTTTCAGTCTAAAGTCAATGGGGGAAGCAAGTCAAGAATTAAGACAAGACTCCAGATGGCATTTAGATAGAAATTTTGTAACTCTTAGATTTCAAGAGTATGTAATTTTCTTTTCATTTTGATGTAATAGTAGGAATCGCGGATCGGAACCTCGACGGAACTTCGCTCGACTCTCCATCTAAGCATACTCTATCAGTCATTTTTCACTTGAACTACACATGACCTGATTCCCTTATAACTTGGGATATGTAGGATGCCTAAAACCAAGGCTCGGTCTCATCTTTTTCTTTTATCTTTTTTTCCTTCTCAAATAATAGTGAGGTCAAAAATCAGTCACCTTGTTTATTTTCTTTGCCTGAAAACTCTTCATGTTTCCAAGCAAAGAGGGGCATGCTGTGAACAACTAATTTTTTACCACACCTGAATTCTATACTATTTTAGTGTAAATATTTTTTTTAGATCTAATCTTGATATTTTAAACTTTTAGCTTACTTTTATAGGTTTTATTTGAGAAAAATTAAAAATTACAAAAAATATTGCACGTTCTTAAAGTATATGTTTTGTTCCTATTTTTAAATAGAAGAAAATTATCAAAAAATATGTTTTTTTTCTAAAATTAGGATCTTAATAAGTAAACTAGTAACTTTTAATCTATTTTTAGTGTTATTTAAATCATAGTCCAAGTATATGTTTGTATTAGTCTAAAAATAGGTAATTAATGTTCTTATATTTATATTTTCTTTTTTTTTCTTTGAACAAAAAAAAATGAAGAAAAGATCCTAATTTAATCCTAATCTCAAATCTTTAACCTCCCAAAAATCTCACAAGCCTCACGTCTCTCATCCCACAGTCCCTAACTTTCACGCCACTCACACACACACGACATCACATACACACACAATCTCACCAACATTCATTTCTTTGAATGCATAATCCCATTAATTTGTATAAAGACATAAAAAGGAGGAGTATGAGGGGATGGGAAAGCGAAAAAAATCAGCAGCTAAGAAAAAACTAGCATTGTTCTTTTAGAGTGAAAATTACTTGGAGTTAAACTATTTGGCGGACTTATTAGGTTCGGAGTCAAAAATCGAAGTATCCTTCGTGGTTTTAAGTTCGCGGGTTCAATTCAGCAGATTGTAAATAATTTTTTTATATTGTGAAATCTTACAAAAAAGGTAACACTCAATCTCCTCTGTATAGTTTAAACATGATATATGAGATCTATGTCTTCTTAAAGTCTGAAAATTTTCTTTAATTCGTTTGTAAGTTTTTTGTTAGAATTTTTTATTTTTTATTTTTTGCCATCTTTTCTTTTTCTCTGGTAAGATAGAGAAAAGTGGTTACAGTTTGTTATTCCTCTTTGTATGCAATATTTAATATATTAGAAATACTTTTATACTAATTCATGAATTTGGAGGCAAGATACAGTGAGAGTTAGCATGTTATTCTTAATTAGTTAAGTCTATATAGTTTGTAAAGCTCAGCTCGGTCTTGTTTTGAATTAGTAAATCCAATTTGGGGTGGTGGTATTAATCAATTTTATTAGATTGGTCAAATTATTTTAATAAGGCAGTGAATTGGTCAAATGACTTTTATCAATCGAGTTAAGTAGGCTGGCAATTTTGTAAGAATTCCGTTGGTAAATCTATTAAGTTTGGTCATGTTATTTAATATATTTATTTTTACATCTTCTGGATATGAAATTCAACCTTGGTCTCTGTTAAGGCATTGGTTTTTGAAATTAGTTTGTATTGGTAATATATTTATTGTCAAATAGATTTAACGAATTAAAAATATTGAGTCAAAAGATTTTATATTTGATTTTTGACGAACTGATTGTATTTTTTAGTGCAAGTTTATTTGTTTTAGTCACAGATTGTATTTAGGCTTCAATTTTAGATAAATAGCAATTAATTTTTTTTTTAGAAGAATGTAAGTTTTAAGTTCTATATTTTCCATAATACTGATATATAAATTTGGTAGTTGCTTATATTGACGTGTGCCTTTGTAAAAGAATAATTTCATATCATATTTAATTGCTTCATATTGGTTATCCACTGTTTTTCTTTATGACAGATCAATGGTTGAGGATATTTAATTGTTCAAATATTATAGCTTGTTTGGTAAGCCTGCTGCAAGAACTAAAATAATTAGAGTGGTAAGAACAAAATTATTGTGAGGGAGCGAAATGATCCACGAACTAATTCAAGACTCGTTCCAATAAGTAAAAAAAAAATATAATAAAAATGTACAATTAAATATCTCGAATCTAAAAGAGACAAAATAATTTAAATATTCTAAATACAATATTAGCCCATATGTTCATACCCGAACCTTGGATTGATATGCTTAAATAATAAAAGGATCATGTACGCATTCCCCGTGTCTTGATACCTTTAAATTTAAAATAATTATATTTTAACCATATGTACATTACGTACCTTGGCTTAACATCAAACTTCAAAAAAATACCTTGTGTGCGTATCACATCTGGGTCCAAACAATTAATAAAATATAATAATTAAGTGAAGTGGTAATAGATAGACAAGCCATAACCAATAAAAATACAAAAATAGTCAAAAATTAATTTAAGCCGGACATATATCAATAAAAGCGACCATGCTAGAACTATGGGACTCGAGGGGTGCCTCGCACCTTCCCCTCGGTCAACAGAGTTCCTTATTCAGTCTTCTATTTTCGTAGACCATAAATTAGGAGTCAAACCTTCCTTTTGATAAGGGATTCAAATGAAAGGTGACTTGGAACACCAAAACTCAATTCCAAGTGGCGACTCTAAATAATAAATAATCCCTTTTTAAAACGTTACTTCAATTGGAAAAACTCTTCTAACTCAGCCTCGTAATAAGGGTTGCGTGGGAAAAAAGAGGTGTGACAACGATACGAACCTATTCCAAGGCTCGGAACTTCAAATGGATATCGATAACATCAAAATCCACTTCAAACCAAACCTATAAAATTCTAAAACCTTCAAAATGCTAACTTTCCATAATAAGCGCCGAAATACTCTCGGACTACCCGATACTCAACTGGAACACACGCCCAAGTCCGAAATTATCATACGAACCTATTAGAACCTTTAAATCCCGATTTCGAGGTTGTTTACTCAAAAGTCAAACATTAGTCAATTCTCCCAACTTAAACCTTCCAAAATTAGAATTTTTCATCCGAATCAACTCTGAACTTCTCGAAATTCGATTTCGACTATGCGTACAAGTCATAAAACATGAAGTGAAGCTACTGAAGGCCTCAAACCGTCGAGCGATGCGCTGGAGCTAAAAACGACCGATCAGGCCGTTACAATTAGGAACTGATGTATGTTGATACTTTGATTGTAGTTTGGATAATATTTTTACGGTGCAAGTTATGATGTAAACTATTAAACTTGTTTTACTTCTATGCTTATGGGATACAAGTTGTAATGTAAAACTGATTAATTGTTGGCCTTTTGATCTCTAATACAAGGTGTTATTTATAGCTTTCCTTGTGGTTGTACAACAAACTTTCATGTGTTATTTCTAGCTTTGTAAAGGCATGTCGCCATGCTTTTGATTCTGAGAAAAAGATCAAATTTGAGTGTACCACTTGCAACAAGAGCTTTCACTCTTACCAAGCTCTTGGTGGTCACAGAGCAAGCCACAAAAGGACTAAAGACTGTGAAAATATTAGTATAGAGATTGAACATATGCAAAATCAAGCTGCTGATAGCAAGCTCACAAACACAAAGAATAGCAGCAATGACAGTACAATTGATGAATTTGGTGTAAAGGTTGAGACAAGTTTTGTGTCCGAGAAACAAAAGCAACAGCCAAGTTCATGGTTACACAACACCTACTAGCATTTGAACAACCAAAAATACACATTGAAACATAAACTAATAACAAGCAACATCTTCAAATTTTTTTTTCTATTCAATTCAGCCTCAAGTTCCATTTTATCCTTCTGTAAGCCAAGAATTAACGCCTTTGATTGGCTAGAAAATTCTGAATCATACCACTGAAAAAACCCACATGCCATGCGATCCTTAGCCTGAAAAATTTAACCAAACCATTAATAAAAGAAATGAAATCTTAGCCATAATATATCACATAACATATGATGATTTGAAAGATGATTACCCCATAGTACTTGCATCCCAAAAAATGCCTTCCTGGGTTAGCATTTGTCGTTGACATTCTCAAAGAAGCAGGTTGCCCATAACCACAAAAGACATTAAACCTCATGACTCTTCTATAAATACTTGAAAGGGTGTTCTTCTTTCAAATAAATTTGGGTAACAATGAAGGATGGATAAAATGAGAAAGATAAAAAAATAAACTCAATCAACAGAGAGAATTTCAAATGGATTAAGATGAAGAAATGGAGAAGAAAGGTGAAGAAATTGAGAAGAAAGGTGAAATAATGGAGAAGAAAGGTGTAATATAAAGAAAAAGAGGAGAAAATATAAGTTTTTTAAAAAGGGGGGCTAATTAGCCGTTAGTTGCTGTTAGGTGGGCCCATTTTAATGGTTATTAGCACCCTTCACGCGCTCTTAGGCGACTTATTTCACACAATATGCCACATAAGCGACGAGAGGGTTTTATTATGAAGGGTGATATAGTTCAGGGGGTTTTGGGGACAGTTGATAGTTTAGGTAGGGAACTGACAAAGATCGTATAGTTTAGGCGGGTTTGAGTGTATTAACTCTTTTTAAAAAGAAGGCTAATTAGCTGTTAGACACGCCATTTTAATGGCTTTTTCTTAGCCTTCGCGCGCTCCTGGGCTATTTATTACACACATAATGCCACATAAGCGACGAGAGGATTTTATTATGAAGGGGGATATAGTTTAGAGAGTTTTCGGGAACATGCGATAGTTTAAGTAGGCACCTGACAAAGGTTGTATAGTTTATGCGGGTTTTAGAGTATTAACTCTTTTTTTTTTTTTGGTAATAGTCCTTTTATACTACTAATTTTGTTTTAAAATTTATATTTTAACACACTTTTCTTTTTAATCTGTTCTTCAAAAGAATGACATCTTCCTCTATTTTTTTATTGGTAGAATGCAATTTTTTAAATATTAAAAAAATACGTCCCTTCTTTATCCTTAATAAATGATTTATTGAAACCTTTACCACTAATCGTTTAAAATGAAAAAAAATATATGGAACGTTGGTTATTATTCATTCAAAGGACGTATTTGATACTCAATATATAGTTGGGTTTTTTATTAAAAACAATTCCATGCCCATTATCACCACATAAATTGAAATAGAAAAAGTATTATTTATAATTTCGGAAAAGGATCATAAATGTCCTTAACATATTAGAAATGGCTCAAAAATGCCACTCATCCATCATTTGGCCCAGAAATGCCATTAACGTTTTTTTTTAGTATCAAAAGTGCCCCTTGAACTAACAGTTGACTGTGGGGCCTTTTGCAAATCCACGTGGCACTATTTGATTGGTCAACATTAAGAAAAACATAATTAGACCCAACCCCCACATATTCTAATAGGGTTCTTCAACTCTTTCTTTTCTCTCCCGGTTACTTAAATTTTTCTTTTCTTTTCTTCCTTTCAAGTTTATTATCACAATTCTATTTTTTGCTGTGTAAAAAAATTTGTTCTTCTGGTATAAGTATTAATTGATATGGTTGTATGCTTTCTTTACCTAAAAATTGGTTCGATTTTTCAAGTTGGTGTTACTGTTTTCGGTTAATGTTTGGTTCTTTCATAATGTTAAAATTGGTTTCATTTATTGGGCTAAAATTCTAATATATTTTAACATTTCTAAAGTTGCTATTTTAAAGTTAACTGCCTGCATTTTAGCAACTGAAAAGCTACCGTTTTTGGTGTTAAAATACAGATCTTGACACCCACTTTAATGACAAAATCTAAAGTTGTCTAATGTTACCAATCAAAGAGTGCCACGTGGATTTGCAAAAAGCTACATACAGTCAACTGTTTAGTTCAAGGGGCACTTTTGATACTAAAAAAAATGTTAGTGGCATTTTTGGGCCAGGTGGATGGGGGCATTTTTGAGTCATTACTAATAGGTTAAGGGTATTTATGACCCTTCTCTGTTTATAATTTACTAGATGATGTGTGCCCGTGAGATGCCCGACATTTTGTCTCCAAATTTCAAATCACTAAAGCTGCCTTACAATACCTTTTGCATACTTGTTTACTTGGATAAAGAAGTTAGTTTACATATCTCTTTATTTGGACACCATCTCACTGCTAAGTTGGTCCAAGTTTATATGAGGCCAATCGACTAATAGGCTTTGCTATAGATGTACGTAACATGCAAATGCTTCAACCACCAATCCATATTTTGGTTACAAAAGCTTACATGGTGTCTTGCTATCAAAATATAAATGTACAAGCCAGAATATAAAAGAAAAGTTGAGTCTGCAATCTTGTATATTGTACTGTCTGTAGAAAAAAGGACAGATGAAACACAAATCTTATAAATAATTACAAAGGCATACCCTAAGCAAGTGGATCTGTAAATAAACAGCAGATCCACTCATGTATGGTCCACGATTTCAGATTTAGGCATTTTCAGTGCATCTGCTACCAGTTCACAAACTTTAAATATGTTGTCCAATTCAAATTAATATTTTTTCCACAAAAGCTCCATAGTACGTCGAAATGTTTCTCAAATCCTTAAGACACCATTTTGGGAGGTACATGCCGTCATTGATTGGTTGAAGCAGCAAAATTGCAAAAGACAAAAGGAAGATAAGTGCCAGAGAGGATATTTCTAACTGTAAAAAGTCCTATATCTCCCAGTTTCGCCGTCTTCCACCTGTAACTAACTTCAATGAACTTAAATTTTTACATTAGTCCTTATAAGAAAGGAGGACGCTTACAAAAATCAACGAATTCAAGTCTCCACCTGCAATACAGAACTACCAACTTAATCCTTAGAGAATAAAATGAAACTCAAGTAAACTTAAATCCTTGAAAAGAGTGTATTTGAAATCTAGAATGTCCAGAGGAATCCAAAATTAATGTACTACTTGATTATCTAATGAATCTTGGAGTAGATGCTTAAAGTTTCTGGTGACATAGAGAATGTTAGAACATCACCTGCTTTTATAACAATATGTAAACAATTGAGTTTATGAGATTATAAAAATAGTGATGATAAAGAATGAAAGTATATTCTTATATTGATTATTAAATCAGAACCCAACACTATTCAATATGCCAGTGAGACTCTTTTGCTAGTCTAAGAGCAGCTAGAACCTTATATAATTGTTAACTTTTTGCCCCACACATTCCTTTTTTGTTAATGAAGTTTGCCCCGCACATTCCTTCTGTTTTAAGGTATTACAAATAGTCTAAGTTTAACTTACAATGTGTTGCCACTAAGTCAAAAGACCATGTTAACAATAAAACATATACTATAATATATTCCTTTAATAAGTTTTTTCAATATGAGTATAAAAACATATATTTTATCTCTTCCCTTCACTCAAAAGCTAGATGAAAACTGTTTTATTTCATTATAGGTTGCAATCATTTAGCAAACACCAAGAAAAATTAAATATTCTCTGTTCTCTTCTTTTATGGTGACCTTAAACCTCTGGAATATGCATGGAATTATTTTTCTGCTACAAATTGACATTCATTATCTTAACCATTATTGAGACATTGAACCTAGCAAGCAAATAAAAAAATAAAGCAGGACACAACTATAAATTAAGTAAGACTTCTGATCTCATATGAGATCCAAATCATTTTAACCTTATGGGCTCAATTATACATTTCAAAATGTCATACTCGATAAAAAGTGGGAGCTATTTACTTCGACCAAAAGCTCCAAATTTATCAAACTTTTAATCTGCAATTTAGTTCAAAAGGACAACCATGCCAAACAAATGAATCGAACTCAATTTGTTATATCTGTTCTTCTTTTTTCATTTTAATAACAACTTTGCTGTATAAATCGTATTACAAACAACCCATCACAAAGAAAAAGTTAATAATTTACTACCTTGTAGATAGAATGACCTCATCTATTTCCTCGCTTTCTTCCTTAAAGCGTGCGATTGTGGTACTATTTTAAGGAACCTGAAACAGAAATTGAGGTTAGAATCTATAAGTCTTACCAAATTTAAAATTCAAATAAGTACATAGTTAAGTTAAACAAAGCAGCATTGTTTCTTTATGGGAATCAATCATTCTGGAGGATACTAAAACTTTGGGCCTGCATTTGACAAAGTTGATGAGATTTCAGTAATCCACTATGCTTTGGAATGACAAAGAACAACCTCAATGAGTTAGATACAGACAAAACTCAAACTAATTCAGCTCAACTATACTTTTTCAGTTTTCTTAACCATCAAATATTTTTCTTTCTTAGTATCGATATAAATGTACTCTAAACATCCATAACCATAAGTGAGAGTGAATCCTCACAAGGAAAACAAATCTAAGTTGAAATTTTAAGACCAAAATGAATTAAAAGGAAAAGAAAATGACATCAGCATCAACTAAGAAGAGTAAAATAATAATCAACACATAGGAAAAAACTGATAATTATTTCTTTCTTTTCCCTCTGCTTAGATCCTTCCAATATGGTAAACAAAACACAACCTAAATTAACAAAAATTTCAATTCAAGAAATAAACTAAAATTGCAAAAGAAATACTATAACTTGAAACGCCAGGAGAAATCAAAGTCCAATATCAGCTAAAAAGATTGAGCGAGAGAATGAATTACTCAGTGACGACTTCTTTATTCTAAAGAAAGAATGAGTTACTTGGTGATGACTTATCTACCCTTACTATGAAAAAAATATAACAAATTACAGCTATTGTTCATAAAGAGGAGGAAAAAATCTTAAAATGATTTCACCTCAGTTGACGAGATCAAGCAAAAGAGAACACAAATTCAGAAACTTGAAATCAATTTCGGCATTCAACATTATAATTCAGAGAGAATCAAGGCACTTTCTTAGAAATCACAGTGGTATCACATCCTGTAGCACACTGGCTTCTAACAGTCAAACTAACAATTAAGCTCACATGGATCGCCATTCCTATTAACTCAAACAAAAAAGATCCTACCTGAACCTATGTGGAAATCCTTTATTCACTTGACAAATAAAGTAGTGCAATAACTTACTATATTACCTGGAAGGCATATACTGACAACATTTCCATTGTCAGATACAACCAAAAGTTCCTCAGGCCTGAGAGATAATTGAACTGAATTTTAACAAAAGAGTACTCGTCTATTTAAGCCTTAGAAAACTTGATGTTTAATATCCTTGATTCTTTACTTAAAAAGTTTTTATGCCTTAATGGATTATCAGTAAAAAGATTATTTTATTTATACTCCAATCTGCTCTTTTCAGCAACTATCAATGGCATATTTAGCAAGTAATAAACAAAGAATGATGCTAAAATTAATTTGTGTTCTTTTCTCTTTTCCTTTATGGCCTCTGTCGGACAATATCTTGATGCACTTTGTGTTTTCAGCTGTCAAAGACAACCCATATCTCATATATATTGGGAAAATTTCTGTATATGAGTAGCTTTGAGTATTTGAAGCCACAAGAAGACATATTTGGCGGTAGGTAGAAAAGTGAACTTTGTTATATTGGTTTGTCTAACATAAATAAGAAAAATTTCATAGATAACACCCCAAAAGTAGTTGAAGCCTTTCAAGTTTGGGATTCTTCAACCGCAAAGGCGCAATCTTTATAAAAGAGAAATTAACAAAGCAATAATGAGAATTGAGGGAGACTGACATGTTCAACTAATCGTTGCACAGTCAAAATCCAGGGCACTATTAAAGAATTATCCATATTCATTTTCTTTCATGAAAAGGCTTCATCTTTTTAGATACAAATGAATTTGCAAACACATCCGAGTAAAGGATATGCTGTATATTTCACGACCATACCTACAGTTACCGAAACATCTTATATTTGTGCGTTCAAAAGTTCTGGTCTTACAAAAGGATAGATACTTGTGATAAATCCACCTATGAAAAAAGAAATGGTAGAACGTTATTTAGTTTTAGTCATATTGTTGAACACCTTAAGCACAATAAAGTTCTTCCCTTTTAATCAACATTTTCTGTTGAGATGGAAACTCAATATGGTTAATGCTAGAAGCGCTCAAACAACAAAGACCACATGCATACACAGAATCTACCCAGAATTTTTTTAAAAAGAAGGAAAAATTAGATACTTGTAGTTGTAGACCAAAAATCCACTTATACATTGCATTAAGAAAAATAAAGCACAAATGCAAAAATAACTTTATAGGCAAATGAAGATTCTAAATCAATAGTCTAAAATAGAATCAATGGTTTAAGTTCTCACCAAGAAAGAATTGAGGAAAATGTAGCAATACTCGAAAATATTCTCTTCATTCCGTCCTTACGCTTTTGGATTTTATCTGGCTTATTAGGATGCATGTGTGGTTTGGAGAGTGTATCCATAGCTGCATGTATACAGAAAACCCAGAGGATAAATTAACAATACAAAAGAAAAAAATAGAATACCAGGAAAAGATTGATAAAAAAATGAGAAAGGAAAAACAAAGAAAAATTTCAAACACAAAAAACTCACCAGAACACTATTAACTCTAATGGAGAAGATAGAGAAAGAGATAAGTAGGAGAAAATTAAAGATAAAGAAAGTGTGAAAACATGTAGAATTAGAGGTGACCGATCAGTTGCATCTGACAACAAAAATACAAATTATAAGAACCCAATCACCAAAAGCAACAACACTTGAAAGAAAAATACAAATCAATTAGGAAAAAGGACCGTTTACCCTAAAAATTGAGTAACAATTAAACTTATATTGCGGTGGTTTTAAGGATATGTGATTTAAACCAGTACCAATTGATAAATAACGAATTAAATAGATAAATTTGACAATAAAATAAACAGCAAAGGGCCAAATATACCCCTCTACTTCCGAAAATGGTCTAAGAATATCACTCGTTATACTATTGGGTTATCTATACCCCTGCAGTCATACTTTGGGTTCAAATTTACCCTAGAGGCAACTCCCCTGCCAACGAAGTCGGGTATTCCCGATTTCGACCGTATACAAGGACCCAAAAATCAACGGAAAAATTAAAACCAAAACTCACTTGCAACAGGTAAATCCAGTCGGAGCATGAAAAGTGGAGAGAGAGAAATGGAACAAAATGGAGAAATGAAGAAGGCATGAATAGAAATACTAAGGATGAAAAATAAATAGGCTGATGAAGAAGATGAAATGACCAAAATCAGTAGCGTGAAAATCAGTGGAGTGAAATCCAGTTGTACCTCACAAATAAAACACATGTCTGCAATAAAAGGGTTGAACTAAAGTACTAAAAAGCCCATAAGATGTATTTGTATTACCTAAAGTACCCTTCGTCGTACCATTCACTTTCACTTATTAATAAATTAAAGGCCAAATATATATATACAGATCCTTAAAGTTGCCAAAAATCCTATTTAGACACTTGAACTTAGCTTTGTTCCAATTGAACACAATACTATGTTCATAACCATATCTATTAGGCACAACTAGCTAACTTGGCACATAACGTGGGGCGCACAACATTTGAGGTCGTGAATGTTATTACACGTGGACTCTAACGGTAATATTTTAAAAAACAAATTAAATATATACCTTTTTAGGCCCACCCGAATTTATATAAACCCTAATTTCATTCCCTTTCGTTTAGTTCTACCCCAATTGTTTCCAAATTAGGTCGAGAGACTTCTTCGTTTCTTTCCAATTCTTCTGAATGCTGTCCACAATTCTTGCCTCTTTTCTTCGTCAAAGCAGTTATAATGTCGAACTCGTCGAGTTCATCGAAGGAATCTCCCACTGATGTTGTGTACTGTAATTGCGGTCAATTAGCAAATTTCAAGATATCATTGACTGATCGTAATCCAGGATGAAGGTTTTGCAGTTGCAAAATTGGAAAGGTAAGTTTAATTCATAGTAATTTCGTTATAATCTACATTTTGGTGATTCTTCTTAAATTCTCATCTTCCGTTCCTTGGTTGTATTTGTAGAAAAGGGGTGGATGTAATTACTTTAGATGGTATGATGAAGACTTCTCTTCTCAAGAAAATAGGGTGATTTGTGGTTTGTTAAAAAAAGTCAAGATTTTGGAGAGGAATCGGGCAAGAAAAAAATGGACCATCATACTGCTTACAGCTTTGTTGGTGCTGATTTTATGGATATGGATATGGCGCGATACTTGTTGTGTTTGTTCAAATTAGTGGCAGTAGTCGATTATTCATTTTGCTGGTTTGTATTAGTAGGGGTGATTGTATTGTCTAGTGTAATTTTGTTTAGAAGAAAGCTGCATACTTGCTTCAATTAGTACAATCGCTGGCCTAGTACAAGGTTATGTAATTTTGTTTGAATTAGTTCAAGGGACGAGTTTGAATTTGTATGTAAGAAATTTGCTGCCTTGATTTTTATAGTTGTCGTGTGATTTCTGTCTATAAAGAAATGCAACATTTAAAAGAAGTTGATCACAATTTAGTGCATATTCAAACTCGATTATAGTAACTCTAAATTTAGCATCAAAATAATATTAATCATCCACATAACACAACCATATTAATGTACTTAAAACATATTAAAATACATTAGAAGCAGTCAATAATATGTGTTTGCTGCTATAAATTACATTGCCACACAAAAGCCTAAAACTAAGCAAACTACTTGTTATTGTTGGAGTCCCTCATCTGCTGCAATTGGCGAGTGGTAATGGCATCTCTACCCTTCCATCTCAATCCTCGAGGCTTAAAACCAATGTCAATATTTGTTGGAGTTGTATTTATGACATTTGAACCAGCATTTACTAGTCTTTCTGATGATATTCCTGGCTGGAAAAAATTTTTAAATCAGTATTGATATCTTTGTGAAACTATAATAATTAATATATGATGGTGCATATAAACTTACATTTAGTATTTGAGTTTTAGTTCTGCGGTCCTGATAGAGACCAAATCCAACATTATTGGGCCTCTTTTGTCCTCCTGTAGTAGCATCTGTTGGTCCCCTGCCCCTCTTCTGCCCAGAAATTTCTCTTCCCCTGCCTACCCTGCCTATTCCCCTGCTTGTTCCAATAGATGTTGGCGGTTATTGGCTTTAAGGTTTTGAAGCTTGAACCTTTCCAACTCTTGAATTATCTGCACAAAGAGAAGAAGGTTGGCTACAAGTTGTAGGTTGGCTAGAAGCTGCAGGTTTGCTTGAACTTGCAGGCTGACTTGAACTTAGAGGCTGAAATGATGTTGGAGGTTCAACCATTCTAACTCTTGAACTATCTGCACAAACAGAAGAAGGTGCTGCAGGTTGGCTTGAACTTGCAGGTTGCTCAGAATCTCTATTTTGCTGTGAAGGCATGCCTATTCCAGCTTTCAAACATTGAAAATTATAAGGATTTAGCATAAAAAAAAATAGTTTGCTAACTTTAAAAGAATCAGCAGTTGGTTACCTTACAAACTCTTCTATTGTGGCCTTGTTGATGACACTTGGAACAAGTCATTTTCACCCCTTTTCTGAAAATCTTTCCATACTTCTTGTTAGGTTCATCTTTTGCCTTTCTTCTACATCTTTTTGATCTGCCTGCCATTAGTTTAGGAGCAGGAGTCTCAATTTTTAAATTTGTGGTTTCAGGCCACATATTCATTGTGGGAATTGGTTGCAAAAAGTATTGGTAGGCCTTTAAGAATGTATCTTTCTTATACCAATGTTCCACATAATCTTCAGGCTCTTGGTTTAAGTTATATAATGCACATACAATATGTTAACATGGAATGCTTCTAAGCTGCCATAATTTACAAGTACATGTTTTCCTTCTCAAATCAACAATAAACCTTTCCCAACTTCAAATATAGCCACAACACAATCATCATCATAACTTAGCTTACTACTCTTTCTTCTAGCAGGTAGATCAACACCCCTAACAGCTTCAGGATCTAACTCATCTTTACTGTCATCACTATCTGCCTCTGAACTATCAATAAACTGCTCATCACCCCCTAACCTTCCTGTATATCTAGCAACCTTGTTCCTTCCAATGTCTTCAAAGCCTTAATCAATTCCAGCTTCTCCTAGAGGTATTTCATTCTTTACAACAGTTTTTTATCTTTGGACCTTACCCTTTTGTTTGCTCCTTCTTTCTTCCCTAACAGATCTCAACTCTTCATCAACCTCTGAGTCATCTTCTTCAGGAATACCATCTTCTTGTGAGTCAGAGCTACTTTCCAGATCTGTTTCAGCCCCATCCACATTTTTCTCAGCATGTTTATTACTCTCATCAACTACATCAACATCAATCCTTTCATTTTCTTGAGTTAATCCTTCATCCACCTCTATATTAATATTTTCTAAGTTTTCATTCTCACCACCTAGGTCTTTCTTAACAGTAGTTTGAGTATTAATATCACCATCATTTGTTGCCCTAGCACTACCAGAAATATTATCTGTCTCACCTACTTCTGGCCCAGTTAGTAAAGCTATCTGGCCCACAGTTTCAACCACCTCTGGCTCATTAACCACATGCAGCACATACAAATCCAAAAAATCATAATGTACTAGGTCTTTTACATTGTCTAACAGATGAGAATCAGATTCAACCTTGAAAAACTCATCACTTTTTGAGGTTCGATAGTAAAATCCTTCAACAGTGGGGTACCCTAACGTTTTAGTATAATATAGCAGTTCCATCATTGAAAAATGGTCTTTATCAATAGGAAAAACTGCTTCGGGTTCCTTTTCCCCGACATATGATAGGCCCCATCATTGATAAATGCACCCCCATAGTAAAAACGAGTTATAATATAATCATCCATAAGATTCCCTCAAAGAAAACCCCAAAAATATATCACCAAAAGCTGACAGAATATTTCGAAGGAAACCCTCCAAAAAAATCTTAACTTTACAGAGAATTTCGAATACCCTAAAATTGATCAATGCATGCTACATAAAGGGCAAAACAATACCTCTTGAGTCATGGACAGTCCAATAACATTAGTCGTTGACAGTCTTCCCAAAAATCCAACTCGAATCTTCAAATCATAATTGATAACTTCTGCAAATCAACCGTAAATAACCATACAACCCATGACATACGAAACAAGAGATGCTTTTAGTGATAAATCGAAGAGAATAAATTAGAAATACAGTAAGAATCGAAGGTAACTGATGGAATTTTTCTAGGGATTTTTAGAACCTCTAATCGCCATTCTTGAATTGGGGTTAACGGGAAGAGAGAATGACTGAAATAATGAACGAGTATTTTAATTTAAATGGGGGACTAATTTAAAATCTGATGTGGCGTATTAAAATAGTTGACGTCTTTTAATTGGTTAGCTTTCCACGTCAGTTGCGCTTAGAATCACGCGTTTCACTTAATATAACACCTGGCCGAGTAGTCAGCTAGTTGTGCCTAATAGGTATGGTTATGAACATAGTATTGTGTTCAATTGGAACAAAGCTAAGTTCAAGTGTCTAAATGGAATTTTTTGGCAACTTTAAGGGCCTGTATATGTATTTCAATCGCCAATTAGGTCTTAGTTAAGTTCGAACTAATTATATAAATAATATTTATTCGACTCTATTCACATACATATCATTTTAATACTAAACATGGCTGTGACCTCTAAATTTAAATTTAATTACATCTAAAACTAGATGATCTCTAAATTCAGCACTAACTCTTTTTATAGATTTTGTGTTTAAGTCTTTATTTACTTTTTTTTTGTTTAATTTCCCTTCCCCCTCTAAACTACAAATTAGCAAATATTACTGGAACGACACGACAATAATATCATTACATATATACTTACTAATAAGAGAGAGTAAGACTTACCTACCCGAGAGAGAATGTAAGAGTGAATCCTCCTATCACTTGAAGGCCGAAAGAAAATAATTTACGACTAAGTCTCTAACAAACAAAAATGAAGTTCTTGACAAACATTAGGTCTTATACAAAAAACAACTACTAAGTGTTAATTCTAACTAGTTAGTATGATCTATCCTATATGAATCCTTTATTTCAATTGCGTTTAATTTTTCTCTTTGAAATTTACATTAATTTAAAATTAAATATGTAATAATAGACTCAACTTGTTGTTTCCTACTTGTTGCAATTACCTTTTCTTTTTTCATCCGTTTTCCAGCTGAGAGTCTATCGAAAACAGTCTCTCTTCCCTTCTAAGGTAGAGTTACGGCTGCGTACATCTTACCCTTCACATACCCCACTTGTGAAAAATTACTAGGCTTGTTGTTGTTGTTGTTGTTGCAGTAATAGACTCAACTTGCTCAAATATTCAGGCTAGTATCTTATGGCTCTAGTTAAAGTGTCTAAATGAAAAATTGGACTAAGAGCTTGTTCCAAAAACGGATCATTTTGAAAAATGCTTTTTTCAGAAGTATTTTTGGATAAAATACTTTTGGAGAGTGGCAGTTTATGTTTGGTCAAATTATTTAAGAAGTACTTTTTATAATATTTGATAAACAAATTGTATTTGACACTATATATGAAAATTACTATATATTCTTGAGAAAATAATAAACTAGACACTATTGCCTTCTATCAACTATAATACATGCATGCGCGGCCAAAAAGAAAAAGAAATAAAACTACAAACTAGATAATAAATTGGTATACTGCAAAGGAAAAAACAATTATACCTCGAAAGGAAGTGCTCAAATCTGGTGATAGAGAGACTATGAGCCCGTTTGGACATAAATGTTTTTTAGGTTTTTTCCGAAATCAACGTTTGATCATAAATTTTTTAATTTTCACTTGAAAATGCATTTTGGAATTTTTCGAAAATTTAAAAAACTTTAAAAGGCTGTTTTTCAAAATTTTCACTCAGATCACTTATAAAACTTCAAAAACAACCCAAAATTATATTCATGTCCAAACACCATTCTAATTTTCAAATACCATTTTTACTTAAATTTTTTTTTCACTTTTGTTTTTGAATTTTACAATTCTTATGTCCAAACGCCCACTATAACAAAGCGAAATAGAAAAAAAAGAATTTAGATAAAAAAGAAAAATAAAATATTACAGTAATAAGAAGTAATTTGAAAAATATAAATTTATGATAAAAATATTTTTATTTTTGAAAAAAATACTATTTTCTACTTCTAATTCTGAATCTATCATCTTTTACCTTGAAAAACAATGTCCGAAACTTACAACGGATAGAGTAGTATTTCTATAGGGTTTTGTATTTTCGGATACGAGGAGGGAAAAAAAAGAGGGAAAATGAGTACAGGCAGTTCCCTGACATCGTCGCCGGCGAGGTCATCGAGTTCGACGATGGCGATGATCGGAGGAAACGCAGGGCAGTCATCGTCTTTAGCCGCTGATGACTTTAACTTCCCTACTGATCTCATCTCCATTCAAGATCGCAAAGATGAAGCTCTAAATGGTCAGTGACATTTTTTGCATTTTCTTTGTGAAAATATGTTTACGTTTTTAGTTTTTCATTTGGCAGTATATTCAACTTCAAGTAATGATCTGTGTGGCTAGAGAAGACCTAATTTATTTCGCAAATCAGCCGAATAACGATCTGAAATTGATTATCTAATGCAGTGGAATATTATTCTATAGCTAAAATTGATTATTTAATGCAGTGGAGTATTTAAAAATTCATTTGAATAATATTCTAATTTGAAACTCTCTTCAAATTTTTGAAGCAAAAGCCAGTAATTTATAGCCAAAAGAATTTTCCACTTGCACAGCGTGATTGCCAGTACCACATGTTTTTACTTTTGAATCTAAAACTTGGAGAACTTTTTTTTTTTTTTAACGTCTGTAGTGTGTATGTTTGAAAAAGAAAAAAAAATCTGGTGTTTCATTGGATATCTCTGATTTTCATTTTTCAAGATATGAGTGTTTTAAGACACAATATTATAATCTTCTGATTATTTGAGGGACTGTTAACAGCTTTTGCATAAATTTGGTGTGCATCTCCTTGGCTGTAAAGAATAACATAAAAGTTGCAAATAGTTAAAAGGAAAAAATTGATTGATCTCATCGTGATAGAAACTAGATGGTAAAAATGATGTGGTCGTGTGAGTAGGACATGTAAAGGGGGGGGGTGTATCTGCACAGATCGAGACAGATGCTTTATAGTAGGGGCTGGAGGCAGCTGGAAATTGGAGTTAGGTATGGTTTGCACACAAACGTAGATGCAGTGGATGTAATTTGAAGGAAGATCAAATGTAAGACCTCATTTACTCAAAATTTAGTAGCTGAAAAATGTTGATAGAGCTCAATCTTAAGTTCTTATAATTTTGCATATCACTTACATGTCTATATTGTTCTACATCGAGTGAAAATAGATAATTTTCTTTGATTGTAAGTGCTTTTTCTTCTTTTTTATATCACTAGTTGGTTAAGTGTTATAGATGCTTTTTTCTCCACTAATAAGTAAAATGTACTACTACTACTACTATCACAGCTCTTCAAAGTTCAAAAAGGCCAGTACTTCATTATATTACTCTTTTGTTGTTTGATAGCTTTTTCAATTGTTGTTAGATATACGTTGATAATAAGTTTTGAGTAAATTCACTAGTTAATTAATGAAAGTGAGTGATTTCTCTGCCTGAAACAAGTCCAAAGGAGTGCCATATTTCTGACCAAATGACTATGTACCAACAATCAGTGTTATCGAAGGCGCGCTTAAGCCCTGAAGCAAAGCTCAAAACATATTGAGCGCTTCGCCTCGCGTAGTGGGCGCTTCAGCGTCGCCATCAAGGCTCTAAAGCATACTTTTCCTTGCAAATGAGCGTAATCCTGAAGAGACGACACTAAACAATTGATATTTTACTTTATCATAAAATTTTCTTCAATTTCTTTGTCCATATATTTGGTATTCATGCTTTTAGATATTAGTCATGGAATACACATACAATAGTTTTTCTCCATTTGCACCTTTCTTCATTAAAGCCCACACTTTATTTGCGCTTTGCACTTAAACCCCCAACAGACCTTAGAGTTTTTTTGCGCTTTTCGCTTTTGATAACACTGCCAACAATGTTTGCATAGATTTGTAAGGACAAATCTAGAACAGCCTTAGTAAAGGTTTAAAACTAATGGGAAGTGTATTTCAGCAGGTTATGTCTATCATATTAAGGATTTTTCTTTTTTTGATAAAGCTGTTATATTAAGTACGTTTAGCATGCAGTGGCGGAGGCATGATTTCCTCTAAGGGGGTTCAAAAAAGAAAAATTTTAAAAGAAATTGTAGCTAGTGGGAATTGAACCAATGACCTCACAAAGATTTTGAACCCCCTTGACCACTAAGCTATGCTTTTGGGCTTTGTCAAGGGGATTCAAAACATAATATATAGAGATAAAAAACAGATTTTGCCTTACATATACAGTGTAATTTTCCGACGAAGGGGATTCGGGTGAACTCCTTCCGCCCCCCTAAATCCGCCCCTGTTAGCATGGTGTCATATATAAGGTAGCAAGATGTTTAATTTTGTGGCTTATACTAAGAATTTTTCATCTCATACCATTTACTGCTTGTAAAAGGACCAAAATGGTTCATGTGACCTACTGTTTCTATCTGGTGGAGAAAGTGTCTGGCTTCGGTTTTAGGCCATCCTTGGTTCAGCAGGTTGGGTTATAGGTTCCGCAAAAAGTGGGAGCTTTGGGGTAGCAGAGCAGCTTTATCATAGATAAAGGCGTTAAAGTTCTTAGCTCTATAGAACTTGATGATGATCATTGATAATTAGGCAAACACAAATTAAAGCAGCATTAATGGAGTCTTTACTTCCCCTTTCTGAATAAAAAAGATATTGCTAGCAGCTAGTCAAAAAAAGTTTGGCCAGTGAATTTGGCTATTTTGGTTGTTTAAAACAAAAAACATCTAGCTGAGAAAGCAAATGCCATATTTGCATTATTTTCTTGATGTAATGGACTTTGTTTTTCTAAGAAACTTTGAGTTGTTAGCTGATAATATAGTTTGTTTCAGTTTTCATCCTTAAATCCAAAGTTATCTTGGTTCTGCTTGCAGTTCTCAAATCTGATCTGATGGCTTCACTGAATAAAGAGGTTAAATCCTTAGACGAGGATAGCTGGATGTTTGATGGACCTCGGTCTCGCATTCATATGATTTCTAGGCCAGGTAACTCAGGAAAAACAAAATTGACAATTAGGGAACTTGATGATAGTGTAACTGATGCCTTACTGCTATGCATTTACAGGCTATCTTTACAAACATGGAGAAATTAGGAAGCTTTCTAAGCTGCCCATATCAAAATGAGGAATATTTTCCTTCCTTGAGAACTGTAAAACAATATAGCCTTTATTTAATGAGCTTGTCGTGGTATAAATGTGAATGGCACCGATGATTTACTTTGTTTTTGAAGTTAAAGTGCACAAATTTAATGTTTTAGTCCTGTTTCTTGCTCGTTGATTTTACAATTTACTAATATGTTGCTCATGCTGAATACAATGAAAGGACTATAAACCTAATTAAATAAGCTTAAAGACATTAAATAATAAGAAAAAAACACTTACTAAAGGAGAGAAAAGCAAAATTATACAAAGGCTGCTCATCCTACAACCAGATAGTGTAGCAGAGCAGACTGTCAGTTTTGAAATTTTACCCGATCAAAAAAGAATACTACTAAAAGATAGAAAGGTAAAGAGGGTTGAGAAGCTTCTGCTTGCTGCTTGTTGTCTACTTGGTGAGCCGTCATTGCCTCGTTCTGTGACCTCCTTTCCGATCACTTTTCAGCATCATATTCTTTATTCGCCGATGGATAAAATGTTCCAGTTTTTCATTCTCAAATATATGAGGCTGGAAAGTGGTGGAATCAAATCCTAACTTTGAGATTTGAAAAACTGCAAATAGTAAACTTAAATTATCAAAATCATAAGCATTTTTTAAGAAAGCAAACCGTTCAAGAGGTTGAAAGAAGGCAGGCAAATAAGATAAGTACTTTAGAAACCATTTGGATTTTCATAAACAAATTAAATAAAATCATATCAAACATAATACACATACATAGGTGCATATATTCGTACATTAATAAATGCACATCTACGTTCTTGGGAAATTTAAATGAAAGTGAGTTTTTGTAGTGCTTAGCCTTAGACTATTACTTCTAGATTATATTCCAAACTCTAGTGTTATCTTGGGAAATTTTAATTACAAATAGTCATTATATTTTGATATTTAATTAAAGAGACTAAATTAGATATAGTTACAATTATAAATACCATAAATCTGAAAAGAAGTCAGACCCTTTATATGTTTTAAAGTTCTTTTTATAAAAGTTTTAATTACATAGGAGATATGAAAAGAGGAGGACAACAGATGTTAGAATTGAACCGTCACTTATTATGTGGTAGGCTTCCCACTAATATTACTCTTGGTTCCATCCTACCAGTTATTCAGCTGAGCTTTAATTTTGAAAAATTATACAGTAATAACATTTTCTTCTAGAGAACAGTGTACAATTGCATATATGTATTTTCGAATTTAAATTTCATTTGGTTTAAGTAGAATATCATCTCAGTTCGTGTTAAATGTTTCTTTATCGTTCACGAATTTACTCATCACTTGTTTGAAATAGCATAATGTTTATAATCTCAAAATAGTCTCATTCCCGAACTTACAACGATTAACTTACTACGAAACTTTAACGTACGAAAATGCGGGATGTAATATCTCATTTCCGAGGTTTCATCAATTTACTCTTGGCATACTTTTACGTACGAAAATATAGGGTGTAACACTATATTCCTATGAGATTAGAGATAAAAAGAATGCATTAACAATCTCTTGCAAAATTGGCTAAGCACAGCAAATAGGTAATTTCTATCCGTATTCACAAATCAATTCCCCAATGACTAGGTTAAAGATATCGCGCTCTATTCAATCATATTGCAATCAAGAATTACCTCTTTCAAGTTCAACTCAAGATTCATATATAGTATTTCACTGTTAGCTAGGCAGTAAAACAATTAAACTCATGATATGAATAAACAATCCAATATGATAAATTAACTTGTCAAATCAATATTCGAATATCAACATTGATGTAAATCCATAACCTCAGAACGAATGAGTTTAACCACACATAGTCATGGTAGCAATCTCCAATAATTCCCTAAAATACATACAAATCAATAAAAGAACAAAAAAGTAAGAACTCAAGACGAATTCTGTGGTTTCCAAACTTTGTGATGGCTTTTCTCCGCTTTCCCATGTGTTCGATGACCTAAAAGAGGCGTTTTTGGCTTATATATTGCGTACACAGGTCGTGGGCCAAAGTTTTCCTTTTCCTAATCCGACTCAGTTTCAGGGATTGATGTTGGGGTGGATGTTCCTTCATCTCTGTTGTGACCAGGTGCGGATGCTAAGGCGGATGCCTTAGCCCGACTTCACTGCTAAGGGTGCACCAAATATAATTTTTCCTAGGTTGGATGCGACGCATCCACCCTCTTCTCCTATAGTTGGAGCACCTTTTCTTCATATTTTTGCACTCCAAACACTGTAAATCATCACGCACAACTCATTTAGTCATAAAACCAATATTTAATACGTGTTGGGAATTTTAAATCGAGGTAAGTCAGATTATGGCAATGGAGTACAAATTTAGGGAAGTCTAAAGTTAGATGATTGTAGCCAATGCTCAGATATGTCAACATAGGCATATTCTGCATTTTAGACCAATCTGAATTTTTAAGTACTTTTGATCCAAGATCCAAGTGTCGTACCTTATGAAGATTGCTTATTTGATATGAAATAACACCAATGATATTGTTGTTATAGAAACTGAGTTGTTCAAGTTGTGTTAATGTAACGACCTGGCCGGTCATTTTGAGTATTATAACCTCGTTCCCCCATTTACTACTCAAGTTATGCTTTATAGTTGTTTAATGACTTACCGGGTTAGTTGGTTCAGGTCCGGAAGGATTCCAGAGTGAAATGAGACACTTAGTCTCATAATTAAAAACTTAAGTTAGAAAAGTAAATCGGATGTCGACTTATGTATAAATGACCTCGGATTGGAATTCTAAGGATTCCAATAGCTCTGTATGGTGATTTTGGACTTAGGAGCGTGTCCAAAAAATTATTTGGAGGTCCGTAGTGAAATTAGGCTTGAAATGGCGAAAGTCAAATTTTTGGGAAGTTTGACCGGGGGGTTGACTTTTTGATATTGGGGTCGAAATATGATTCTGAAAATTGTAATAGGTCTGTTATGTCATTTATGACTTGTGTGCAAAGTTTGAGGTCAATCAGACTTGATTAGATAGGTTCCGACATCGTTTGTGAAAATTTGAAATTTCAAAGATCATTACGCTTGAATCTGTATGTAATTCGTGTTTTCGATATTGTTTGAGGTGATTTGAGGATTTGACTAAGTTCATATCATGTTTTAGGACTTGTTGGTATGTTTGGTTAAAGTCACGAGGGTCTCGGGTGAGTTTTGGATGGTTAACGGATCCATTTTTGAATTTGGAAGACTGTTGAAGTTGAAGCTTTCTGGTGCAATCACACCTGCGGAACATTGGTCGCAGGTGCGAGCTCGCAAGTGCGAGCTAGGATGTGCAGAAGCTAAGGGCGCAGATGCGGAAGGCAGTACGCATGTGCGGACACGCACCTACGCATGGACGATCGCAGATGCGGAGGAAGTGCACATGTGGGGGATCGCAGAAGCGAGGATTTGCGCAGAAGCGGGGGGAAATCCGCATAAGCGGTTAAATATTCGGCAGGTGCGGAACCTCTGGATAGTGTACAAAAACAGAGGGGTCCGTGATTTTCTCATTTTTGGACATTCCAAACACGGGTTGAGGCGATTTTTGAGCGGGAAATCACGAGAAATCTTGAGGTAAGTCACTTGTGATCATTTCTACTCCATAATATTTAATTATCATTGAATAATCCGACTAGATTACAGTTTTTTGAGGTGTAAATCGGAGATTTAGAATATATAGTTGAAGAAACTAAAAATATTGTTCCTTGCTTTAAGAAAATAATAATAATAAAGAATGTATAATACCATTAATTAAGCCTTTTTAATGATGTATTTACTGGTAGTTGCCAATGTGAAATTAACCTTAGGTAAATAAAAGTTTATCAAGATTTAACTAGGCAAAAGTTGAGTAATGCGCAAGAAATTACTTGGGTGCATTTAGGAAATCCATGTAGAGGAATAAAGCACTACGCTAGCGGAGGAAATTACCCTCTCCTCGTCAGAAAAGGATTTAATAATTTGGAAATACAAAGTTACCAAAAAATATTATACGAACAACCCCTTAGCGGCTACTTTTAGGAAAGCTTTTCCACATCAAATAAGGATTTAAGGGTTTTCTATAAATATTTTACACAATCATTCATTTAGCTTAACAGAGAAAGAAGAAAGTGAGAAGAGGAACAATGGAGTGGAAAAAGCTTTTTGTTCTAGGTGCGGGGTCTTACGGCAAAGTGTATTACACAGTGAAAATCGATTCCTTTTTATTATGCGCTTCAGCTGCTGCTGTAAAATGTGCAGATCTCCCACGTTCAATTTCACTCCATAGAGAAGCACATATCTTGGAAAGTCTAAGAGGTTGTCCCAACGTGGTTCAGTACTTTCGAGTAGACGTAAGTAGGGGTGTGTATAGGTGAGGTTGGTTCGTATTTTTCAATTATCAAATAAACAAATGATGTCGGGTTTTTAAATTTATAAACCAAACAAAACCAACGAAATCGGATTTTTCAATCTCGATTTTTCTGTGGTTTTTTCCGGGTTTTCGGATTTTCGGATTTTTTTCCGGTATAGTCTACATAGCATAAAATACGTAACTTGTGCTCCTAATATTTCTTAAATCCTAGTAAAATATAACTACATATAATGTATTTTCCAAGAAAATAACACAATAATATGAGATAAGTCATAGCATTATACTAAAATATTCAATAACAAAGATAAAATAATAAAATTACATAAAATAAATATTGCTAATTAATAAGCCATAATAGTATAGCTATTAAGTACTGTAGGCATATAAATTTTATTAAAATTAAATCCATAAAATAATTTGGACTATATTTTAAATTCAAGATATATTGGTCCAAATAAATATTATGGGCTAATATAATTGGATTATTTATATAAGTCCAATATATATGGATTAAATAATTAAGTCTTAATCCATTGGGCTAAATTGATGAGCCCACTTCATTAAGCCCAAAATGTTATTTTCCTAGAGGTCCAGTTTGGTGCCACGTGTCAAATGACGTAGCACGCCAAGTCAAACGGAAGAGCCAATAGGATCGTGCCATGTGTCAAAATGACAAGGCATACCAAGCAAAATTAAAAGGCCAATGAAACCGTGCCACGTGTACAAGTGACATGTTCTGGCCAATCAAATGCGGCCTTGTCATACATCAATTTGATT